AAATCTTAAAAAAAAAAAAAAAGATTTATTTATTTTAGAGAGAAAATGGCGGGGGCGGGCAGAGGGACAGGGATAGGGAGAAAAGCCGAGTGGGGAGTCTGACGGGGGCTGGATCCCACAACCTTGAGATCATGATCTGAGCAGAAATCAAGAGTCCAGTGCTCAACTGACTGAGCCACTAGGCACCCCAGTTGTCTTGAGTTTTTAAGTCACTTTTGTTGATTTCAAATGCTTTTACTTTCCTGCTTATGAAATTCAACCTTTATAAAAACGTGTTATCTTTTGTCATACTATTGTTTAATCTTTTTATGTATAACTTCCCAGTATTTTTACCAAAATGTACGTTTTTATAAAATATACATTTCTTTGTAAAAACAAATCAGATTGTATACGTTGGGCTTTATATTTCTAAGCATGAACATACTTTTTCTCAAGCAGAATTCGACAGTGATGAAGATCCTTTGTATCCGGTATATAAGGAAGGGTACACTCCCTGCTTCTCTGGAGGCTTCCCTTGGAATATGTTTTCCTCAGTCCTTGCTATGTTCACGGGGCATGGAGATTGAGTGAAATAATGGAAAGAACATGAAATCTGGTGTCTGGAGTCATTAGACCTATTTTTAATTCCCAGCTCTTATTACTTCCTGGTTGTGTGATCTCAAGTAAATCACTTAATCTCCCTGATCTTTTTTTTTTCCTCACTTGAAAAGGTTATAATACCTACTTACTCGCAGGATTGGTATGTGGACTTAAGACACATAAAACACTCAGTCCAGACAGTGCCTATATATAATCAGTGCCCAGGAATTCAGCTGTGTTCATGAGGTAGCATATATGTGCAGAAACTTGATTGACCTAGCTCTTCCTCGTTAGGAGGCTGAGATTGAGACTCGGATTGCTGAGCTGCGGAAGGAGGGTTTTTGGTCACTGAAGAGGCTGCCTAAAGTGCCCGAGCCTCCCCGCCCCAAAGGCCACTGGGACTATCTTTGTGAGGAGATGCAGTGGCTCTCTGCTGACTTTGCTCAGGAGCGACGTTGGAAACGGGGTGTGGCCCGTAAGGTATGTCAGCAACTGGACCTACCTTCCATATTTCTTTTCCAGGTTTCCTTTTCCTTCATAAGTGAGTTGGTTTGAAGGGAACCAAACAAAACAAACAGTATAGGGTGCTTATTAATGCCCATAGTCTCAGGAGGCAAGCTCTGACTTCTCAGATTTCTTGGACTTGATTATTCTCTTTGCTCTTGATTTGAGGAGGGAGTAGGAGACTGGCCTTGGAGTGTTTTCACTCTGGTTCCTTATTCCCACAGGTGGTGCGCATGGTCATCCGGCACCACGAGGAGCAACGGCAGAAAGAGGAACGGGCTCGGAGAGAAGAGCAGGCCAAGCTACGCCGAATCGCCTCTACCATGGCCAAGGATGTCAGGCAGTTCTGGAGCAATGTGGAGAAGGTAGGTGGCAGGAATTGGGAAAGGGAAATGCCTTAGGTTTGCTTAGTGGATAGCATGGTAGCAGGAATGATCAAAACATCTTGAGAGAATGAATATTCTAATTTCAGGCAACTTTAGTGACACTTCTGTTGTGCATTGGATCTCTCTAGCATTGAGTGCTGTGAAGAAGAAAGAAATACAGTGGAAAAATACGGTCCTGCCTTTGGGGATTGTTAATAGGACTTCTTGATTCCTCTAGGCCATCCGTCCTCTGCAGGGCATTCAGCATGCTTTTCCTAAAACCTTTCAGTGCCATTTACTTGTTTAAATACCATCGAAGTTCTTAGTAATCAAATTGTTCTCATATATTAAGTTTTATTTCTCAAGTACCACCTGGTTTCTGTCTGTATTTTCAGTCTTGTCTCCTGTCAGTTCCTTTTTTTTCTACTTCAAATATTTTTTTTGCACATCCCTGGTAACTTACCCATGTTCTTTCTGCTGCCAGGAATGCCTTTTTCCACATGCCCACTTAGGGAACACCTACTTAGTCTTTAAGATTCAGCCCCAGATACATTTGTAAATCTTTCCCTGCTGTCTGAAATTAAACTGGCTTTTCTCTTACCTGTCCTCCCTTTGTGCTTTCCTCAGAAGCACTTTTAAGGTCATTTAGTTTTTTCTCTCTTGAAAAGCCAGTGAAGGGGCGCCTGGGTGGCTCAGTCGTTAAGCGTCTGCCTTCGGCTCAGGTCATGATCCCAGGGTCCTGGGTTCAAGCCCCACATCCGGCTCCCTGCTTGGCAGGAAGCCTGCTTCTCCCTCTCCTATTCCCCCATTTGTGTTCCTGCTCTCGCTAACTCTTTTTCTGTGTCAAATAAATAAATAAAATCTTAAAAAAAAAAAAGAAAGAAAAGCCAGTCAAGAGGCTAGCACAGAGGAAGTTTCTCTAAATGTTGGGTAAAAGAGTACGTGAATAAAAGATTATCTTAGGGTGCCTGGGTGGCTCAGTTGGTTAAGCAACTGCCTTCGGCTCAGGTCATGATTCTGGAGTCCCAGGATCGAGTCCCGCATCGGGCTTCCCACTCAGCGGGGAGTCTGCTTCTCCCTCTGACCCTCTCCGCTCTCATGCTCTCTCTCTCCCATTCTCTTTCTCAGATAAATAAACCTAAAAAAATAAGTAAAATATTATCTTAGTGACCCATCTATTTCATGCTATGGCAGGTGGTGCAATTCAAGCAACAGTCCCGGCTTGAGGAAAAGCGTAAAAAAGCTCTGGACCTGCACCTGGACTTCATTGTGGGGCAAACTGAAAAGTACTCAGACCTTTTATCTCAGAGCCTCAACCAGCCGCTAGCATCCAGCAAAGCTGGCTCTTCCCCCTGCCTTGGCTCTTCCTCAGCTGCCTCTAGTCCTCCACCCCCGGTTTCCCGGCTGGACGATGAAGGTGTGTGTCCTCTTTGGCTCTGTTACTCTTCCTCATGTACCCTTTCCAGAGCTGAAAACCCACCCTGTGGCTTGCAGGGCCCCGTGGACTTTGTGACCTTGTTCTCCTGCTATAGATGGGGACTTCCAACCCCAAGAGGAGGAGGAAGAGGATGATGAGGAGACGATTGAGGTTGAAGAACAACAGGAAGGCAACGATGCAGAGACCCAGAGGCGTGAGATTGAACTGCTTCGACGTGAGGGAGAATTGCCATTGGAAGAGCTGCTCCGTTCCCTCCCCCCTCAGCTGCTAGGAGGGCCTTCCAGCCCCTCGAGAACCCCCTCATCTCGTGACAGTGACACCCGAGATGGGCCTGAAGAAGGTGGTGAAGAAGAGCCCTCTCAGGTGTTACAGGTATAGGGAGAATGGGTAGAGGGAGGACTCAGTGGGTGCAGAGGTAGAGGTTCAAGGACTGATTTCTGATTTATAAGGTTGGTTGTGGTGTTGAGGAGTTCTCCCTGGTTAAGGGCAGTTGGCTCTCATTTAGGGATGGATAGGGAAGAATCTGAGTTTGGGGAAAGTTGCATTCTGAGGTGGGTAGTTTCTGATGCGGTACTGGAAGAGCGTATTGTACTCTACTCTTTAATTGCTATGTGGCCTTGAAAAAAATACTTAAATCTGGTTCTTGCCATTTTTGTGAAATGGTCCTAATACTCCCTATTGGTTTGTTGGTTTGGAGCTGGGATGATAATCTTGAAGTGTTTTCTGGACTAAGCTGTCTCTTTCTCATATGTCTGAGTGTGTGGGGATGGTGCTGGGGGGCCTGTGTTTCTTATCTAGCACTTTCACAGATCCTCCTCCAGGCAGTGGGGCCAGGATTTGGTAGCTGGTGCTGAAAGAAAACCCTTGGTTGCATCCTTGCCCTGGGACTGTGCCAGTGGCAGCTGTCACTCAGTGGGACAGAGAGACTGTTCTGTGACATCGTATTCAACATCGTACCTTTCTCTTGCTGCTGTAACCTTAGGTCTTCTCCCTTTTCATCCTTTGCCATACAGGTGAAGCCCCCACCCTCTGTCACACAGCGAAACAAACAGCCTTGGCATCCAGATGAGGATGATGAAGAGTTCACTGCCAATGAGGATGAAGGTCAGGCTTGTTCTCTTTATCCTATTGCCCCTTTCCTTTTAAATTACCTGGACCTAACATTTCATGCTTTCTCCTCTCCTCAACTTGGACTGGGTCCTCTGATTCTGTTCCCATTGATTTTGCTTCATTCTCTTTCCTAGCGGAGGATGAAGAGGATACTATAGCAGCTGAGGAGCAGTTGGAAGGGGAGGTGGATCATGCCATGGAGCTGAGCGAGTTGGCTCGAGAAGGTGACATTCACCAGACGTTTACTGAGCATCCGCTTGGTGTCTCTTCTGTGCAGAATGCCAGGGATAAAGAGATGAATAAGACACTTTTTATCCCCGTTGGAGGAACTCCAGGTCTAATGACAAAGACAAATGTAAACAAATAATTATAAATAGAATGTGATGACTGGTTACGATGGAAGTTTGAACAAAGTGATACAACAGCTTAGTGGAGCTAACGTAAGAAGGATGTTGGCCATGTTTGACTTGTACCTTAAAGAGAGGTTTAGTTTGATATTACCCTTCCCAGTGGAAGGCAGCATCATCCACAGTTCTAGCCCAGGCTGTGGGCTTGGCTGTAGTGCCTGGTGCTGAAAGCAAACTCTTCTGTCTCCCTTCAGACATAAGCCCAGTAGTGTCTGTAGAAACCTGGATAAAATGAGCTGGCACCACTCAGACCTCTCCTTCTCCTTTACCCCCTTTCCCTTGAAGCACCCGGAAGCTTATCCGCTGTTCCTTCTCCAGGTGAGCTATCTATGGAGGAGCTCTTGCAGCAGTACGCGGGAGCCTATGCTTCTGATGCCTCTGCCCCAGGCTCTGGGAGTAGTGAAGAGGAAGACGAAGATGAGGTTGAGGCTAACAGCTCTGACTGTGAACCAGAGGGGGCCCTGGAAGCCGAAGAGGCTCCTCAAGAGGATAGTAGCAGTCAGTCAGGTGAATGTGTGGTCCTGGGCACACCGGAGGGGAGACACTGGGGGAGTAGGTATGGTGAGCGCTAAGCCTTGGTCTTGTGCTTTAGAATCTGCTGAGGAGCAGAGCGAGGAAGAGGAAGATGAGCGTTCAGAGGAGGAAGAAACAAGCGGCAGTTCAGAATCAGAGGAATCGGAGTCTGATGAGTCTGAGGAGTCTCGATCACAGAGCCAAGCAGAGGAGGAGGAGGAGGAGGAAGACGATGACTTTGGGGTGGAGTACTTGCTTGCCCGGGATGAAGAGCAGAGTGAGGCAGATGGAGGCAGTGGACCTCCCACCCCAGGACCTGCCACTACTCTAGGCCCTAAGAAGGAAATTAGTGACATTGCTGCGGCAGCTGAAAGTCTTCAGCCCAAGGGTTATACCTTGGCCACCACGCAGGTAACCCCAGACACCAACTTCTGCTTTCTCATGTCTTGACTTTTTTGTTGCTCAGTGACTAGTGCCTCATTTCTCCTGTGATACCTCTCTTCCTCCCTACCAGGTGAAGACTCCCATCCCCCTGCTCCTGCGGGGCCAGCTCCGGGAGTACCAACACATTGGGCTGGACTGGCTGGTTACTATGTATGAGAAGAAGCTTAATGGTATTCTTGCTGACGAGATGGGGCTAGGCAAGACAATCCAGACCATCTCCCTTCTTGCCCACTTGGCCTGTGAAAAAGGTAACGAGGCAGGGCCGTCCCTCTTGGGTCTCCTTGGCCAGCTCCCTGCAAAACCTGTTTAATGGTGACTAGCTTCAGGATGGTGAAACACTCACTGTTTTGTGCTATCTTGGTAGCTACATTGACTCTGGTCAGGAACTATGGAGATGCCAACGTAGGTGCTAGGATTCTTGGGGGGGGCCATTGGGGTAGAGTGGTCAGGGTTATACCTGAGGAACTAGAACAGAGCCCCAAAGTTTGTATTTCCTTACCATCTCTCTTTTTAATTCTGCTTAAAATCTTTCTATTTTGTTTTTTTAAGTTGAGGCATAATTGACGCCTAACATTATGTGAGTTTTGGGTATCCAGCATAATGTTCTGATACTAGTACACATTGTGAAATGATGAGCACAGCAAGTCTAATTAATTAACGTCCACTACCACCCAGTTACAAAAACTTTTTTTCTCTTGTGATGAGAATTTGTAACATCTCTTTTAATGATTTTCAAATATGCAATCCAGTATTATTATAGTCACCATGCTGTACATTTTTCTGTCTTTTTCTAAACAGGTAACTGGGGTCCCCATTTGATCATTGTCCCCACCAGTGTGATGCTGAACTGGGAGATGGAGCTGAAACGGTGGTGCCCCAGCTTTAAAATCCTCACTTACTATGGAGCCCAGAAAGAGAGGAAGCTCAAGCGGCAGGTTCGCGCTCCATGTGATCGATCACTCCTCCGCCCGCCCCCCACTGATGCCTCTTTTACTCTTAGGCCCTTTCCTCAGAGGAGTTCCTTTTCCTCCCCTCTCTGTTGCTGCCTTCTGCTCCTGGGACTTTCTCTTTTCTCCATACCTGATTTATGTCCTTCGAGGACCTTAGCATGTCTTTTTTTTATCCTTTCTTTTTTTTTCACCCCATCGTCTGCTGCTTTCTTCTGATACTTTAGGGCTGGACCAAGCCCAATGCCTTCCATGTGTGTATTACGTCTTACAAGCTGGTGCTGCAGGACCACCAGGCCTTCCGGCGCAAGAACTGGCGCTATCTCATTCTGGATGAGGCTCAGAACATCAAGAACTTCAAGTCACAGCGCTGGCAGTCACTGCTCAACTTCAACAGGTGGAGATGGAAATGGGGATCTGGAGGAGGGTTGACTTGACCTAAAGAGTGGGATACTCAGAAGGTTGGGACCTCGCTGATCATCCTCCCTCTAATTCCCTCTGTTTCTCTGCAGCCAGAGACGCCTGCTCCTCACAGGAACGCCATTGCAGAACAGTCTCATGGAGCTGTGGTCCTTGATGCACTTTTTGATGCCCCATGTCTTCCAGTCTCATCGCGAGTTTAAAGAATGGTTCTCTAACCCCCTAACTGGCATGATTGAGGGCAGCCAAGAGTACAATGAAGGTCTAGTCAAACGCCTCCACAAGGTAGGGCCTATAACAGTTTGGCAGGGGGATTGGTAGTGGCAAACTAAGGGCAGTACCTAAAAAAGCTTTAGGGAGAGGGATGTCAGTGTTGGGCTGAATTCACTCAGTTGTCAGGTGGCAGTGTGTTCTAGTGACTGACCCATTGCCAAATTGAGTGACTTCATCTTAGTCATCATTTTACTTGTTTTTTTTCTTTTTTTTTTTTTTAAAGATTTTATTTATTTATTTGACAGACAGAGACACAGCGAGAGAGGGAACACAAGCAGGGGGAGTGGGAGAGGGAGAA